TATTACAATCATTTGAAGGAAGCAACTGGAGCCCATCATCACTAGAACCATCAGTAGGTGCGGTCCCTCCCTAGAGTTTCTAACAGGGCACAGGGAGAGAAGTTTCTAGTGTTTCTAGGAAGTTAATTCTGTTCAGTGGGAAGATTTCTCTGATAAGGAGAGCAGGACATAGTCACAGGTGCATGACCTTGCTCTCCTGCTTAAACTGACCAACTTCATCCTATGTAGGCCCTGGTTGTTCTGAGACTGGCTCTTTTGTAGTCTATTTCTGTCTCTATGTCTCTTTCTGACATAGGCAGCATCATTTCGTTAGGCTTTGTACAGACTGTGATCATGCAACAATACCTATGTGTTCCTCTATGTTTGCTAGCCTCCTTCACAGTTAGGTTGGCTGTATGACTACATCTTATAATAGGATGTGAGCAGAAATGATACATGGCCACTTTGGGGCTGAGGTAGGTAAGTATCTGCAGTGACCTCCCCATACTCTTTCTTATCCCCCTGTCTGCCAGCTCAGTGATAAAAGCTAGAAGCTACAAGACAGCAGGACCAGGTTGAAAGTAGCCAGGGACATCAAGTTCCTTCATAGAGGGCAACCACTGGGAGGATATTTACCCAGGAGAGCAGCCCAACTGCATCCACACGATCTGAGTGAGAAATAAACTTTCACTGTGTTAAGTCATTGGGGTTGTTTGACCCCATGGCTTAGCTGAGCCTGCTCTGGTTAATGTAGGTTCTTTACTAAACATGTGAGGCAAGTTGTATTGTAGGTAAACTTAGCTGCTGTGATTTCTGTCTGTTTATCTATGTGTCTGTGTTGGCATGTAGGTGGCCTAAGAGAAGTGACCCATAAAGAATGAACAAGGGTAAAAAAAAAAAGTACAGTTCTAATAATGGCTAGGTGGCCAATGGGGATCTCCTTTCTGGACACCAAAGGCTGGACTCATCCCCTACTAATAGAGGCCAGAGGTCAAGGGTATGGCTTCTACTAATGAGCTCAATGATCACATATTCCTCCATTTTCTGGAAAAATAATCTGTCTGAGCTGATGGTAGCAAAGCAAAATATTCTGTTTCATAATTTTGCAGAACGTAGGACAGTCAGGTCTTATCACTTGGAATCTTCCCAACTCAGCTAGGTGGCTGGTCAGTTGTTCAAGACAGTTCCTCTTCTAAGACTGGGGATTTTCTGTGCCAGGTGTCAAGATGTAACCAGGGTTGCTGTCCAATTCTGGAGGTACCAAGATGTCAGCTCCCAGAATCACACAATTGTCATGTTTGGGGAAAAGCAAGAGTTACCATGCTGGGCAATTAGAGGGAGCTGTGGGCGCCTGGCCTCTAGAAAATCCCTCCCATAAACTTTTTACAGATTCCTTTCTGAGTTCAAAGACCTTAAATGGATGCCTGCTTTCTGAGTTGTTGCCTTCTAAGCTGACTTCTCCTTTTTTCTTGTACTTCTCATTGAAAAATGGGAAGAATCACATTTTCCTAGATAAACTTTCAAGACTGAGATGAAGTCAAGAAAGTTTTACCCAAGTTATCATGAGTTGGGGGCTTTATATTATTCTCTGAAAGATGCAACAAAGAGCCCCCCGGTTATGTGAGAAGAAATAGCTGAATGCTATGTTTTGATCCCAGCAGCTTGTTGAAAAATGGCTTTTTTAAGACGAAAGCAAGTCTAGTTAGTGGAAAGGAAAGTAGAATAAAGAGTGATTCAGATGTGAACGAAATAAAAGGCTTTAGAACAACTGAGAGAAAGATGTATCAGAGATAACAGTGAATAAAATATTAGGGAAATAAAAGGAGTGGAGGTGACCATTAGTAACAGTTAAAGTAGAAAAAGATAAGTCATTGAAAATTGAGGAGGAAGATGAAAAAGGATGAAAGGAAATATTACTGTCTGAACAAAGGTAGCAGGAAGCCATCCACAGAATAAACATTCCCCATAACCTGCTAAAAGCTGAACACAGAATTGGATGTATACTAGTCCAGGGTAGGGGTAGATATACTATGTCTGTCAGGCAAAGAGACAGCACTTTCACACAACTTTAAAGAAGAGTGAAGAGAATAGACATAAATTGATTCACTATGCTATGCTTACACCCTCTGCAACACAAAAGTTCCCAATGATTCATAACCAAAGCTCTTAAATATTGCAAAGATAAAGGAATATAAAGTTCAAATGTCATGAGCAGGGCACAAGATGATGCTACTAGTTTTCTTATTGTGTACAACATTGACCTATATTCATATGACACTAAAATATCCCTAACCATTTCCTGGATCTTTGGTATGCAATGATCCAGGAAACGGTAATCTAAGCATTTTGAACGTTTTGGTTCTGTTTGGTTCTTCTCATTTTTCATTCAGATTTAGCCTTGTGCCAGGAGAGTCTTCAATTCGATAGCATATACAAGTCATTGGTTTCTTAATTAACCACATTTTTCAGAGATAGAAGGGTTTTGTTTTGCATTGTAAGAAATACATGAAATAATCTGAGAATGAGAGAGATAGAGATCGAGAGAGAGAAAGAGAGGGAGAGAGGTAGAGAGACCAGCTTAAAATATTGGTTGGTTAGGTATAAAAGTTCATTCAACATGTGGGGCTTTTTACTTCCACTTGCAAGAGGAATAAAGCAAAGCACTGCTCGTACTTGTGGAAATCCAGATTTTCCTAAGTTATTTTCCATAGGGATTCTCAGGACTATGACAAACTTCTTCCTCATTTAGCCACAATTAACCTTACCTGTAGTCTCTACACTCGTAATATGTTCATTGCTTTGAGATGAACTTGGCAGTCCCTAACCAGATCTGTTCTGTATTCTTTGTTACTCTAGTAATATACATGGACATATGGTTTCACTGAGAGGGACTAATCAAATTTTGCTGACCCAACAATTCATACACAAGCATAAAAATTTAAATGTCCTCAATTCTCGTATCACTGACTCTTTCTAAATGTGTTATCATCGATAATCAACCTAGTCCCATTTAGCGTTTACTAGCTTACCCAGAACCAACAACCATAACCCACTTAATTACTTAGGAGATTAAAGCACACACACACACACACACACACACACACACACACACACACACACACCTGTGATATTGGAATGTACAGTATGGCCTACTTTAAATGAAAAAAAAGATCCCCCAAAGTATGATTGTTTCCAGCTTCTCAGCAGTGAATTAAAAGCTGTTTGGTATCATGAAGATTACAGAAGCAATCATATTTATAGGTCTACTTTGCATACCAACTCTATTAATTTCCATACTCAGGGTGGCTTCGTATTTCCAAGCATGTTAACATAGATGCCATTTGGGATAATCACTTGGGAAAAATAATAAAAGTAAGATAGAGGAAGAGAGGAGAGGAGAGCCAGAAAAACGGTTCTCACAAATCAAGTTCTGTTTGAAATATATTGATTTGGATAAATACAAAAATGAAAAGACAAATGAGGGTTTCTGATGGCCTGACCCAGGAGTCACACTCAGAGATCAAATTAGCAGGAAATCACACATTGGAATTCACTTATTGTGCCAGCCCTGCACCTTGTCATTACAGACTCTAATTATTGAAATGATTTCATTGGCGTGATTTTAACAGGAGGTGCACGGGCTTCACCTTGGACAGCTCCCCTGATGCCCAGCAGTGCATCTTCTTTATTGCATTCCTTTTGACTCTTAGAGTGTGTCCCAGCCTCACCGAATAATCCAGTCAAGTGTGTGGTTTTCTTTCTTCATTTCTTTCCTTTAAAATTCCCAGTCACATAGTATAGGACTGAAGGAACTTAGCTAGTGTGGAAAGCAAACCTGAGGCAATAAGGGCCAATGTGGAATCACCTTCCTTGAAAAGACCTTGGAGAATCTGATCAGTTTATCTTATTTTACTCTTTTTTTTTTTTTTTTTTTTTTTTTTTGAGACTATCTCACTCTGTCACCCAGTCACCCAGGCTAGAGCGCAGTGGTATGATCTCGACTCACTGCATCCTCCACCTCCCAGGTTCAAGTGATTCTCCTACTTAAGCCTCCCGAGTAGCTGGAATTACAGGCATGTGCCACCATGCCCAGCTAAGTTTTGTGTATTTAGTAGAGACGGGTTGCCCAGGCTGGTCTCAAACTCCTGACCTCAAGCCATCCATCTTCCCTGGCCTCCCAAAGTGCTGGGATTACAGGCACTAGCCATCATGCCCAGCTGCATCTGATCAGTTTAGATCAATTGTTTCCATATTCTTCATTTCCAATCAGTAAGCAAGGCACTCAAGAGCCCACAATTAAATGGCTGTTTGTGTACCATCAAATTTAAATTATACTGTGCTAAAACTGTACTTGTTATGCATTTAGCAATGTACCCGATTACTTCTTAAAGACAAAATAATATAATATTGACATTAAAAATAGCAAGAGATCATAACCACAGATATGAGGGATGCATATTTTAAATAAATTAATTGGAATTTGAGAGGATTTGAATTTAATCCATAGAATAATTAGTGGAGGTTTAGAATCTTTTTAAAGACCATCTTATTAGTTCTAAGAATAAGAGTTTTTGATTCTTATGTCTAAAAATCCCCAGAAGCCAATGCCATGTTCTTACCATTATTTTGATCTAATACTATGTATGAGGAACTATAGGTAGAACAGCAATTGGCAAGAAGGCAATGATTTTGCTCTTGGGGTCTGCCCAGGGGAAATGAATTTCATTTCCTTTGCACAGTGCAGAACTCTCATTGGAGGCTGACAGCACCCTTTTCAGGGAGCAGTCTGGAAATACTCACTGATGATAAAACACTAAAAAGAGATGTGTATCACCCTATTAAAACCTCTAAGTTGGCCAGGCCCTAATTCAAGAACTTCCACATGGGTCAAGCAGTGACATAAGAAAAATAATCAGAAAACACTTAGTTTAGGAAATACCACATCCTAAGGCACATTCATAAACACTAGTAAATTCAAATACGAGAATAGTCTAAAAGCATCTTCGAGTGTCATTGCTTACAGTTTAGAATTGACTGGTCCTCAATGAATTCAGCTGGCTGATTGATATGGAACACTTTCTGCTGAAATCCAGGAGTGCAGTCCAAATCTTCTGCAGATGTTAGCAGCTGCACCTGAGGAAATCAAAGCCATCAATATTTTAATAGCGGCTTATGTGTTTGCCCTGCTAACTTTCACCAAATCTACAACTTTTAGAAATAAGCTGAGGTTCTGATTTCATTTCCCAAATGAAGAGGTAAGTTGATACTTTTCCAGTGGCTGCCAACAATTCATTTTGGCACTGAAATTTGGAGAACACGCAAATGGGAACAGCTGCTGCAGTTTCCATTAAGTTGCTGTTAAAGAAATAACTTCGTCAGATTTTTACACCTGCTACGATTCTCACCATGGTTTCCATGTGTGAAATTATGTTACAGAAACTGTCAATTTTCCATGATGCCTAAGCTAAAACCAACTTCATTTTTATACAAGCAAAGAAGCACTGTCATCTCTGAAGGGGAGAACAGAGAAAATGAAACTATTCTGTTGGAATTTACTTCTAAAAGGAATCCAGGGCCTGTTAAACCTTCACTGTGGTCCAATATGGTGGCCATGAGCCACCAGTGGCTACTGAGTACTTTAAAAGTTGTAGGTCTGACATTGACATGTTGTAAGTATAAAATGCAAATTGGATTTCAATGTCTAAATAAGGAAAAGAATGTAAAATGGTTAATAATTTTATATTAATTACATGTTGAAATGACATTTTACATATGGAGCTAAACATGTTTTATTAAAATTAATTCTACCAGTTTCTTATTCCTTTTTTACATTTGGCTACTAGGAAACTTAAAATTTACAATTGCTTTCAAAGGTGCAGTTTTGTCTTTGCAGATGCTTGAGACACTTCATCTAATGGTCAAAAAGTTAGGTTATATGATTTGGAAAATAATGTATGGAATATATGTGATTCACTCCAGGGCATAGTGTAACTTAGTGAAATAAGAAACTGTCTTAAGGTTTAGTAGGCAAAGACTATAAGCTCATAAAAGCAGGGATTATCTCCTCCCCACCACCAACCACCATTTCTACTGAGCATCTACCACACACACTGGGACAGAGAAGAGGCTCCATGACACTTAACAAATGAAAGGTACCATTTTTGAGCCCTTATTATTTGGCCATCACTGTGCTAAACTCATCATATGCATAAGCTATGAAATATGTACAATTATAAGGTATATTTTACAGAAGATGTACCTGAAATTCTAGAAAGATTAACAAGCTTCTCCAAGATCATACAGTTAGAATGGGTGGAGTCCATACCTGAATCTAGGTTCAAGTGTCCTGAAAGGCACTTTCTTAGAGAGCCCTGCCCATTCCCCTCAGACCTGCTGTGTCAGTGTGCAAGACTCTGCTTTTTTTGTTCGTTTGTTTTTGGCTGAGATATTCCTTTAAAACTTGTGGAAGTGTAATTTATCTGAGGATGGTGGCAGAAGAGAGTATTTGGAAATTAACATCCTGGGAGCGGCCCTTAACCAATAACTGATGGGGAAAGGTGTGCAAACACCCCAGCTCCCTCACCTCTCTGGTGAGATGACTTGGAGGCATGCATTTTTTCTCCCAGTTCCACCTGGGACTGAGTAGCAATGTCTATCAGAGTACCTGGCTTGATAACTCACATTCATTACCTGCCTTCTCTTCCTTGACTTATTTCCTCATTTCCTATTGGTATTTTTCTATTTTTTTAACTTTAATTTTTTTTGACACTGGATCTTGCTGTGTTGCCCAGGCTGGAGTGCAATCATGGTTCACTGCAGCCTCAAACTCCTGGGCTCAAGCAATAAACCTCCCACCTTAGCCTCCCAAGTAGCTGAGACTACAGTCACTTGCCACCATGCCCAGCTAATTTTTCTATTTTTTTTTTTGTACTGAGGAGGTTTCACTGTGTCACCCAGGCTGCTCTCAAACTCCTGAGCTCAAGTGATCTACCCACCTCAGCCTCTTGTGTGCCAAGATTACAAGCATGAGCCACTGCACCTAGCTAGCATTTTTCTTAAACCAACCTCTGCCATCACTCAAATTGGTTGCACTCAAATCCTCAACTCCATGTCTGTTTCTTAGAAAACAAAACTTCAACATCAGACCTCAAAGTCCTAACTACTGCACACAGAGAGTTGAAGAAAATTCATTATCATCCCTACCAGAGAACTCAAAGGAGTGTCAAAAGGTTGGAAGCTGTGGAACCAGAGCTTCTCTCTAAATACCAGCCCTCTGAAGTGCACTGAACCCCCAAGAAGGAGAGCAAGAATCAATCTCAGGAGGTTCACCATGTGGCTGGCCTGAGCAACATCAGAGAAATTGAAGTGGTGGAGTCATCACCCTGACCAACATCATCGCCCTCAAATCTAAGGGAAAAAAAATGCTGTAGTCTGCCATCTGTACAGTTCTGCTTGTGAATCATGGATTCTCTTGTCTTGAGAGCAGGCTCTGGTTAGATCACCCTGGAAGCAATCATAATGCTGGCATCCCAAGTAGCACATAGACAGAATGCAAATGCAGGAGTCAGAAAAATCTGCTGGTGATTTTGCAAGCAGAAAATCGATAACCTGCCAACATTAATTCAGTTAAATAGCAAATGGTCAAGGGTCACCTCCAAACACCCAGTGCCTACAATTATGCATTAACCTTCTAACTGGCTAATTCTGCTCTCAGCTCCCAGACCAGGAAACTGGATATCCCATAGGAAGTAAGGAAGGTGAAATTTCTCCTGGAATCATGAGCATAAAAAGTCAGGACAGAGAGAAAGCACAGTTAGTGGTGAGAAACAGTACTCCATGGATGACCTGCGTTCTCCATCTTTGTCTATCTGTGGCTCAGTCTCAGATTATTTGGCAAGGTCTATTCAGGATTCCTCTAGAGTTACAACAAATAAATAAATAAACCTTTTTCAGTTGCTGACTCTCAGGGAAGTGGAGAGTGGTAGGAGAACTTCCAAAGGCACAGTTTTATCTTTACAAATTCTTGGGACACTTCACCTACCAGACAAAATTAAAGTTAAATGATTTGTAACATAAAGGTACACAGTATACTCCTAGGCCAGGGGTGACTTAGTGAGGTAAGAACTAGTCAAATCACTCATTCATTCACTCAGTCCTCATGCATCCTTTATTCACTTATTCACAAACACCTACCAGACTCCTGGGATTCAGTGAGGACAGTGCTACACATCCAAAGCGATGATAAAAGGGCTACCCAGAATAAGTAGTCGACAATTGTTAAACATAATTATGGTCTCAAAAAGAAGAGAGGCATTAACAAATCATAATTTAAGTGATTCACCAAGATTAGAATTTAACTTAAAAGGATCATGTAAAAGTTGGGGAGCATGTAAAAGTTGGGGTATAGGGAATTCTAACTTCATCTAGGGTACCAAGGAAAGCAAAACCACAAAAGAGACATTTCTACTGGGATCGCAAAGACGGTTAAGAATTATCACTGGTGATTAGAGAAATGCAAATCGAAACCACACTGAGATATCATCTCACGCCAGTTAGAATGTCAATCATTACAAAATCTGGAGACAACAGATGCTGGAGAGGATGTGGAGAAATAGGAACACTCTTACACAGTTGGTGGGAGTGTAAATTAGTTCAACCATTGTGGAAAACAGTGTGGCGATTTCTCAAGGATCTAGAAATAGAAATTCCATTTGACCCAGCAATCCCATTACTGAGTATATACCCAAAGAACTATAAATCATTCTATTATAAAGACACATGCACCCATATGTTCACTGCAGCCCTATGTACAATACCAAAGACCTGGAACCAACCCAAATGCCCATCAATGGTAGACTGGACAAAGAAAATGTGGTACATACACACCATGGAATACTATGCAGCCGTAAAAAAAATGATGAGTTTGTGTCCTTTGTAGGGACTTGGATGAATCTGGAAACCATCATTCTCAGCAAACTGACACAAGAACAGAAAGCCAAACCCATATGTTCTCACTCATAGGTGGGTGTTGAACAATGAGAACACGTGGACTCAGGGAGAGAAGCATTACACACTGGGGGCAGTTGCGGGGGGTAGGAGAGAGACAGTAGGGGGTGGGGAGGGAAGGGAAGGAGGGGAGGGTTAACATCGGGAGAAATGCCAGATATTGTATGCACCTAAAGTAAAATAAATAAATTTTTTAAAAAAAGAATTATCTGGGTAAAGGGAGAAGAATACAGACTCATCTTTTTAACCAAACCGCTCTTTGCTTACACATGAATTATTGTGTGGCTTTTTGAGTTTCATGTAATACATCACTGAAATTACAAAAATGAATTTAAAAATGACTTCAGGCTAATTCAGGACTTTCCCTGAAGCCAAATATCTTACTAGTCAATAGTGGTAGAATGTTCTCATTACAGCTATTGCCCCTTGATTTCTTAGCAAAATTCAAAACAGCATCTATGCTTGAACTTGCCACCAATATCTACACTTCAATTTTAATCAAACTAAGTTTAGTAATGGAATGTAAAGCATAAAGCAGTACCCCTCATTGCTGTAAGAATTAGTACTTGTATATTACTCCAAAACCAGGAAAGCCCTTTCTCCAATATTATTAGATGTTATATGTATAAAGACATACTTTTCCCCAAACCCTCTATAGGTTTTCCAGAATATTACTCTGAGCATCATTCCAAATGTATCTTCAATGCCATGGTAATAATTATCTTCCTCTATGACTTTTTTTTTCTATTTATGCATCAGTGAGTACCTAATAAATGAGATGTAACCAAGACACCTTGAAAGCACAGCAATAATCAAATTCCATGATTACCAAAAGATTTCTATTATCTAAAAATGACCATGAGCCTACTACAAAGATTCATGTTTCACAAAGACGATAAGCACAGGTCTAAGCCACACTGGTTCAGTGTGAATGTTGCTTACCAGTGGGCTGTCCATGAGCAAGTAGCCTTCTGTGTTTTAGTTTTCTAAGCTAAAAAACAGAAGTCATGGTATCTTTCATGTTATGATAATTAAATGAGTCAATTATTGTAAAGAGCCTTAAGTAGTACCTGGTACATAATACTCGCTCAATAAATGCTTGCTAATATTATTTCGAAGTATTATAT